ATTTCAAGTCTCTGGAAGCTGGAGTACCAAGGGATTGGGAGGTTAAAATCGTCTTTAAGTCATTTACAAGGCTTCCCCCAAAAGCCACTTAAAAATCGATTTCAAGTGACCAAATATCCGAATCCCAGATTGCTGAAAGCAGGACTTCAAATCGATTTTAACTGAACCTTGAAATCAAAATCCAGTGTGTTTCATGGCACACCTTCAAGAGAGGCCTAGGATGAACTAAAAACCGGAAAGCCCTAGATCCTATACTATGTACCCCTTATCCCTAAACACAAGGGGACCCCAATATAAACCCCAATAAATTATAGTCCTCATTATGGGGGCCCTCAAGCTGGTCCTCTAATTTTGGGAAACCTCCACATGAGTTATGATATGAGAGGTTGTCAAATTGCCGGTTTTGGGCAGTAAATATTAAAGCCGGCAGTATGATGGAAATCCAAACCAGGACCATCACTTTATCACCCTACTTTCTACATCATAGTCGTAATCCCTATAAACCCCTAAAGAAGCCTATGTACCCCTATAACCCCTACTAGCCCCAAGAAATTCCTGCTTTAAGTATTTCGGCCCGGCCGACCCATGGGCCTCGCAACCCAACTTACTGGTGCTGTTTAGGGGGAGAGAAACCGATAAATGCGGATTAGTAGAAATAGAAATTGCAGCGTTATTTGCTACAGCTAAGGAGCTTGGCAAAGACCCTACACCCTGCCCGTTTGAAAGGTCTTCGCTTCCCTAGCCCTCCTCGAGCACCTACACCCCCAGCACTGATCCCTAAACCTGTAAGCCGCAAAACCGTAAACCCTAATATCCTAACCTTGGGTACTGCCTCCACCCAGTCACCGTCTATACAAGGGTCATATTGGGAGGTTCTATACATATATATATATGTATTTATATTATAGTCATTATACAGCTGTTACTGAGTAAGGGCAGTACCCAACCTAAACCCTAAGCCGCTTCTCAACCCTAAGCCAAAGGTTGACAATTTCCTTAGCTGCAAGCTGTGCCACGGATCTCAGCTTCTCTGGGAGAGCGGACAAAGGGAACACGCAAACCCTGCAGTCAGAATTGTTTTTAAGGGCTTCATAAGGGTATATAGGTGAAAATACAAGGACTCTGTCAGGGAATTTGGGGCTGAGGGTTCAGGGACTAGTCGTGCAGAGTGTATGACTTCCGGCTTTGCATATCTGGGTTTGCAATAGAACTGCATCCGCTGAAGCGCATCAGAGCTCATAACTCATTACCCCAACTAGCTGGCGCACGTGCAGCACAAAATGATCTGCATCAGACACCGAAGACCAACTCTGAATCCTGCTTGCCATTCTCGTGCCTTCGTGGTCTCCTTCTGGTTACATGTGGCTGTCCTTTGGCGTCTCATTGCTCAGCATATGGGGGTTTCCCGAAATTAGGGGTACCTTATCGGGGGTCTCCATAATAAGGATTATAGTATTTTGGGGTCTATATTGGGGTCCCCTTATTTAGGGACACTACCATATCGCCTTTCCATCCATCCAAGGTCGCGAACGGTTCATCTGGGATTACGACCAGTGCAATTATGGCCGCTGCGATTTCAAGGACCACAATGCTCTCGTGGTGCACAAGTACAGCGGTAATACCGAAACAGGTCGTAAAAGTGACATCCCAAGCTCCGTCTTGGCTACAGTTGACTCTAACGCCCCCCAGTAGCCCAATTTTTTTGCCAATCCCAAAAAACTTTGTTCCCATGTAATTTTCCATGTTCTTGTGCATCTAATTCTTCAGATGTGGTAACTTAACCCCAGACTTGAAACCTTGTGCTGCCTCAATATAACCTGTACATAATCCCTACAACCCCTTTGAAGGGAGTGAGGGGTCCCTAAACCCTAAACCACGTGGCTGTGACGGCACCCTCCCTACCATAGCAGGACTGGCAGTCTCTGCCCCTTTGGCTGCGGCGGCCTTAGGAATTCCTTGTGCTATTACTAGCATTATTATCATTTTCTATTATTACTAGTACTAGGACAATTATTGGTACTACTATTATCTCTATGTTATTACTCGTACTCTTGTTATTCTGACTGTTATTAGTAGTACGATTGCTGTTACTATCAGGTTGCTTGCTGTACTGAGCTTGCCTGGACAGCGTTCTACAAGGTTTTAGGGTTTAGAGTTTAGGGGTTTAGGGTTTAATTAGGGTTTAGGATTCGACCAAAAGTTGCCTAAAAGGCTCTTATTCTAGGTACCTTTGGGGCCTAGGTACAGCGTAAGCCCTCTAAACCTCCTATACTTGCTAATCCCTAAGGTGACTCCAGTTAGCCTCAGGTATCCGCTTGTCTTGACTGCCATTGAACACCATGGTCAGCAGAGAATGAAGGAATGGAAAAGATTATGGGAACCACTATACGATTCCGGGGGGGCTTGGGGATCGATTCCCTATTCCCCATTCCCTACTCACCAGTAATCAGAACTGGCCAGAATCTCAGCAAAATGGCTGCGAGACACAGGTGGCGGGTGCACAACGCCGTCAACTTGCACGTAGCTCTGAGCTGAGAGTGTGCGATAGTGTGCGCGAGGGTGGCTTCTCTTTGGACCTGGAATCAAGGGTTTGAACCCCCTAAACCTTAAACCCCCAATCATTTTCTCTAAACCAGTAGCCCCTGAGTACCAAATAAACCTTAAACTCTTGTTGAGGGATGCCCTCATATCATACAGGCGCCTGGACCCCAAAACTCAGCTCATCATCAGGATGGCTGAAGAGGGCACCCCGCTTATGATGCAGAATCCCCGCAATTTGTACTGGTGTTATACTGCGGGGTTCATCATGAGGGGCGGAGATTATAGACCCCGATATTTCAGTTGGAGCCGGTTCATGTGTAGAAGACACGGGTAAGAGACCCGCCCTAATTACTCATGGGACTCCGAACCCTAGCCCCGACTTCTACTGAGAACACCAAGCCCTTTCACCCCAACCCTTCAACCCTAAGCCCTAGGACCCTGAACCCTAAAGCTTCCTGCAACATCACACCATTGAACGCCAAACCTTCAATCCTCGACAAGGAGGGACTTAGCAAGTATAGCTATGTCTTATAGACCAAAGTGGTCCTTATCATGGTATCATAGGATCCCCTCAAGAATGGGGAACTTGTAGCTGTTGGAAGTTCCAAACTTTCAGTGGTTCGTCATAATCAACCAAAACTCATTTGCTCAGTCTGCAAGGCCGCTCACACAGGCTCACCGGTAGACCGGCGCTGGCCCGAATACCAGGCACCTGGGTTTAGGTTTTACTGGGTTGCTGTTAAGGAACTTAAATTAAGTTAATATTTTGGGGAAACCCTATTATTAACTATATATACCCATTATGGTAACTTAATTTAAGTTCCTTAACAGCAACCCAGTTTAGTTCTGAAGAGCTCTGTGGTGATGGCTTAGGAGAGGTTGGGTGTAGGGGCTGAAATGTCAAGATCTGCTTACTGGTTGTAAGTAGGGCATGAGGGAAGATAATCCCTGTAATAACCCCTTTAGGGCTTAGGGTTTAGGGCTACATAATATATTCCCTTATTCCCTACCAACCACCAGTAAGTTTGCGGGCTAATTCGGGTTTGGGAGTTGAGGATGGTTCCAGGAATCAGATGCACAAGTGTGAGAGACATGTGTAGTGCGGGGAGATAAGGCGATGGACTATGTAATGAGAGTATCATGGGGGTATGATGGGAATATAAGGGTAGAGTTGGGGTATATGCCAGGTATAATGCATACATAGAAGGTACTCCACGCCCTGTAAGTGTCCTAGATGGAGATACTGCTCACACCACCCTCCTCTAGCGCGTATCAATTTCATGCACAGGTTCTTCTTGTTCTCTGCCAATCTAATAGTAAGGCCGAGTATCCTGATACTGATTTTGCAATTGTCCCTTGCCACGCATCGCATTTGAACAAGAGGAGGGAGGCTTACAATGAAAACGCGAAAATCTTTCTCGCGCGACCAAATCCTTTGATTATACAAGAACCCCTACCTCCCCTCCTGTTCATACATTTACCAACGCTACTAGGGTTCAGGGTTACTCCCTTAGCCAGGGTTTAGGGTTTAGGGTTTAGGGTTCTCAATCCCTTGAGGATTGCCCGCGGTGCTGGCGACAAGAGCTGGTGCTGGGCGATCCCGTCAGGGTGCGACACTTCCAGGGTTTCCATTCTGAAACTTCTGAATTTGAAGGCCAGTTAGGTAGGTAAATGTAGTCCCTTTCAAGAAAGGAATATTGAATTTGCCCGCCATTAAGTAGATTGCTTGGAGTTGCCAAAAAAAGTAGATTGCGGTTCACGTTCCTCAAGTTGTGTGCTTGTAGGCAGCCAGTGTACCAGCAAGCAAAGAGGGCTATCAGCCTATTAGGGTTATCTTTAGGATTGTTGGGGTTATTAGGGCTTTTGTTGGGATTATTAGGACGATTAGGATTATTGGAGCTATTAGGTGTATTTGTTGGATTATAAAGGCTATTGTTAGAAGACATTCGGGTTAGCCTAGAAGCTCTTTTATGGGCTGGCTGCTGCGAGTAGGGTAAGCCGACCGCCGAATAGGTGACCTTGCGAGCTTACACTGGAACCCGTTGCGATTTATCATCCCCGCTTGTTTACTATATACCCACATCATGGTAACCTACTTTAAGTTCCTTAACAACAAGCCAGTACAGAAATTGAATGTGCGCTTAAGATGTGGACCTGTAGTAAATTCATCGCGCGAAAGGAGAACCTTGCAATGGAGAACAGATTTATGTGGCATCGTATAGGGTACTACAGCGCTTGTGACCACTTTGGTCACATTTTCCAGTAGTTGTTGTTTTTGGCCTAAGCGTCATTGCGCGCATCACTCAGGGACCTGAACTGCTGACAATCCCCCATGCCTACACTTTTGGAGCCTGCACAGTTGCGGATATGATTTTCTTCCTTCTCTCCTGCAATTGCGGTATGGGAGTTTCCAAAATTGGCAGGTCCCTCTTTAGCTGTCCCTATCATCAGGATTATTGCATATTCAGATCCAGATTGGGGTCCCCCAATTTAAGGAAACCCCCAAAGAAACTGCTGCAGTATTCCTTGCCTTGGCAGCTTCTCTCCGAGCAGCCCAGCGTCTACGACCAGCAGGCTCTATCTGAGAGTCGTCGGGCGCCCGGCTCGCAAGGTTGTTTCGGACATCGTGATGACAAGGCTCAGAGCGGTAGACGTGCTACATAAGGCGGTAGACTGCTCGTAATAGGACAAATGCCGACATGAGCACCACCAATCATGTGCAAATGGCAACAGTTGGGAGAAGAACGCATCACATGAACCACGCGTGGGTTGACAGATAGCTCTGACTGACTCTTTTGGAGGCTGCCAGTGCTGCGTTTCTAGTGTTTCATTGGGGAGAACATGGCGGAGTGATGTAGGGGGTGATGGATCAGGTCTGCAGGAGCTAGCCCCGGAAAGCAGAATTCTGCTATTTCTTTTGGAGTTGTTGTTAATTCTTACGTAATGAAATATAACCCTGAGGATTTTTCGGAAATAGTCTTTGTATCAGAGGTACGGGGACGATAGAATTAGAATACACCTTTTTGCCGAACTGCCCCTCCCACTAAACCTCCTAGACCCCACCTTCAACCTTCAGCCCCATGTACCATATTTACTCTAAACCTTAGACCTGCAACAATCTTCTTGAAGTCCCTGGAATGACGGTGAACCTGAGATCCATCCCTGGCACTTGTAAGATTCCTTTTCTATCCCTACAAGAGTCCACTTCATCATGCGGATTCAACCCAAAGTCTCAAAAGCCGCTGCCAAATCCTTCCAAAATTGCGGCAAACCACTCCCAAACCCTAAATCCTAAACCCCGAACCCCAAATCCTAAACCCTGAACCCCGAACCCTAAAGCCCTAAAGCACTAAACCCTAAATGGTAGTTTCCCAAAATAAGGGGACCCCAATATAGACCCTAATATACTATAATCCTTATTATGGGGACCCCCAAAAAGGTGCCCCTAATTTTGGGAACTCCCCAAATCCTAAGCACTAAACCCT